CCAAAGTGGATAAACTACTCTTAAAAAACCTTTCAGGAACACCAGATAAATGTGTTGGGAGGATCATCCCAGGATGGGAGAAGCATGCTGAAAGTAGACTATAGACCAAACATGATTGTCACCCATTGCCTCTTTTGCAAACCACGACACCCAATAAGAGAGAGAACAAAAGGGAATGCCCTGCCACAGAGGCAGGGTGGGATAGAGGGGATGGGGGGTGGGAGGGAGACTGGGATCCGTGGTGGTGGGAAATGGGCACTGGTGGAGGATTGGGTATTTGATCATTGTATAGTTGAGACCCAAGCGCAAAAATTTGTAAGTCTGCAACTGTACCTCATGATGTCTCACTAATAAAATAAACAAACAAACAAAAAAACCTTCAGTGCTCTTAAGTGCAGTAAATGCATTGCTCTTTCCCCCATAAACATCTCTATTCTCTTTTCTCTTGTTCAGATTCCAGCATCTTTTCCTAAATACTAAAATTATTTAAATAGAAACCTAGCATATCATATTTTGCATTTTGCTCAGTGCATTTCCACACTGAACTGGACTGGACTGCTCTCTATGTCTTATGAAACTCCTTTTGAACATATTTAGTACAGTGGTTGATTCACAGTGCACATGTGAAACATCTGATTGTAACATTTTTTTTAGCTTCAATTTTATTTTGCCATCATCTAGGAGTGGGTGATGCCATTTTCTCTAGTTTTTTTTTTTTAAATCTCTATCTACATCTTTATGTCACATTTTTATTACTAGGATCAATGTAACATGAGACATTATTTTATATCTTTTGCTGATAAATATGTACTTTAGTAAAACGTATCTTGGTGGGAAAACTGTGCGATAGCACAGCGGTAGGGCGTTTGCCTTGCAAGCAGCCAACATGGCCAACCCGAGTTCGATTCCTCCGCCCCTCTCGGAGAGCCCGGCAAGCTACCGAGAGTATTCGATATGCCAGACACAGTAACAACAAAGTCTTCGATGGAGACGTTACTGGGCCCGCTCGAGCAAATCGACGATCAACGGGAGGGCCTTTACCTTTATATAAATTTTAAACATTTTTATTGAATCACTGTGGCATACAGTTACAAAGTTTTCACAATACGGTTTCAGTTATACAATGTTCCAACATCTGTTCCTCTACCAGTGCACATTTTCCACCACCAATATTCCCTTTATCCCTCCTACTACCCCGGACCCCCACCTCCACCTGCCTCTATGGCAGGCACTTTTCTTTTTTGTCTCTCCCACTCTACTTGTGGGCATTATGGTTTATAATACAGATACGGAGAGGTTATCACATTTGCTCCTTTACTCACTTTTTTCATCTCACCCACACGGCAAAGCCTGGCAAGATACCCATCACGTATTTGACATGCTAAAAACAGTAACAAGTCTCACAATGGAGACGTTACTGGTGCCCGCTGCAGCGAATCCATGAACATTGGGAGGACAGTGCTACGGTGCTAGAGTGCAAGCCATTTTTTGCACACATCTCCCATCCAGAGCTATCCCTTCCAACCACCATTGTAATAATGGTCCTTCTCTACCTGTGGTAAAACCTCTACATGTCTGTTAAAAACTGTCGAGAGTTCTTGATCCCTAAATCTTAACTTATAACTAAGAAGCTCTTACAGGTCACCTCTAACAGGTAAATTCCCTGAATTTTAAAAATCCATTCTTTATCTATATAAATTCAAAGAATTTCAATAATTACTTGTAAATATTTGGCTTCAAAATTGCTTATATGTATGGTTTCATCTCATCAATGGGCATCTTCCATTCTGATTGAACACAGTTTACAAATAACTCAATTTCCAAGGGTTATCTTTCTGTATCCTACATTGCAAGCTGGGCTGGAGCCATAGCACAGTGGGTAAGGTGTTTGTCTTGCGGTTGGCTGACCCGGGTTCGATTCCTCCACCCCTCTCGGAGAGCCGGGCAAGCTACTAAGAGTATCTCGCCCGCAGAGCAGAGCCTGCAAGCTACCCATGGCATATTCGATATGCCAAAAACAGTAACAATAAGTCTCACAATTTGTTGTAAGACATTACTGGTGCCCGCTTGAGCAAATAGATGAACAACAGGAGGACAGTGCTACAGTGCTACAATGAAAGCTGATAATGTTTTGAAAATAGATCTATCAAATGAATGTCAGTTTTAATGTACTAAGTGGAGTTTTAATTTGTCACTATTTCCATAGGTATATGTGGAATTAATTTGATATACATTTTTAAATGTTTACACAATTAGGTTAATTAAAATATACATATAGTGATATGTGTGTGGGGGTATATGGTAAAAAAAAAACTTAAAAGTTACTGATTGTAAATTCCAAATATACATTCTAATAGTTTTTGCTGTAGTCATCATGCTGTGCATTTATTCTCCAGAATATATACTTATTAAAGAAATTTTGTTCTCTTTCAATATCTACTCCATTGATATCCTCTGTTCCACGTGACTGGCATCAAACACCTCAGAGGCTTAACATATTATTTTGACCATCACATATAAGTGATAACATAGAATATTCATCATTTCTTTGTGGCTCATTCATTTAGAATAATATCCTTTCATTCATATAACAAATGGCAGGATATTCTTCTTTCTGGTGGCATCTAACTATTTTTGTGTATATATGCTATATACTTTAACCATTTTTCTGTTGGTGAGCATTTGGGTTATTTCCATTTTACTTGTATATTTTCAATAATCAATGAATTTGAGAATTCAGGTATCACTTCAAGAGACTGATTTTTCCTCACAACTTTATTAACATTTCTATCATTTGCTTTTTTACTAATAGCTCTCTTAATAATCAAGATATTTGTACTGTGTTCATTCATATTTTGCTGATCAGTAATGGTGTTGCATACCTTTAAATATATCATCGCACGTTTTAGGAGGAAAAGCCTATTTACATTTTTGCCAATTTTTAATAAGATCATCCTTTTTGATTTTGTAGTAAATGAGTTTCTTTTATGTTTCAGATATAAACCCCAAGTCAAATATGTTTTTCACATATTTCCTATGCTTCATGTTACCATTTTGTTTTAATGTTTTCTATGCTATGCAGATACATGATAGTTTGGTGTAGTCCCACTGGCTTAATTTTTGTTGATGAAACAGTTCTTTCAAGTACCATACCTTTAAAAAATATAAATGGAACTTTTCCCCTATCTTTCTTCTTAGAATTCTATAATTTCTTGTCTTATAAAAAAATTTTATCACTTGTTTTTTCTTTTTCCTTCTACTTTCTCTTCTACTTATACTTCACAGTATTTTCACTTATGGTGTTCTAAATACATGAAAATGGGAACATTTATATGTTTGTATCTAATAATGTATGTTTAACAAATTGTCATTGTTACAAATAAAATGTCTACACTCTTTGTATCCAAAGAACATATATATTCTATTAAAAATACATTGAGAAAACAGAGAGAGTACAGCAAGTAAAGTACTTGCCTTGCATACTGATGACCCAGTTTTGATCTCTATAACCCCATATAGTTTCCTGGACCTCGCCAGGAGTAACCCCTGAGTATAGAGACAGGAGTAAGCCCTGAGCACCATGTGTGGCCCCCAAACAAGCAAGAAGATTATATTAAGTGTCATTATATTTATTTAGTCATTTACTAGAATAATGGCATGTGAATGGAGATGAGACATTTTCATCTAGAAATACAGATATTATGTAAAAGTCTGATTTTCTTTTTTATTCAGAAAAAAATTGTAAGTCTTTTAACTGCCATGGTAAAAGGAAGTGGTCTCATTGAACTAGTGAATCCAAGGTTGTTTAGAAGGTAGAAATTGACTTTTAAGATAAATTAAATATGGAAGGAAATCAGGTACCAATAGTCATTGACATATGATAAATACCAGAAACAGTTCTGCATTGACTGATGTAGTCACTGAGTGACTCAAGATGACCAAGTTAGATGACTAAATAGCTAATATAATAACTGCAATGTAATAAGTAGCTACTAAATAAATGATAAATTATGATATTTTGATAACATAATAAACTATGTTATATGAATTATAATATAATTATATTGTATAACTATAAATATAAAATAATAATAAATAATATAGCTATTTTATCTTGCTGTGATCTCTTTCCAAAGAAATTTGGATCCACCAGTGCTTCCATTAATCAAGCTTTAAATCTACATTTAGGTCTATGTATGTTTTCTATATTATTCGTGATAGAAATTTATTTCTTTTCTTTTTATTCCTTCTTAAGTGACTCTACTCAGTCACATTTTATTTCTCTTCATCAAGACTAACATAAATTTTAGTCCACATCATTGCTTTATTTTACCCTATACTAATATCTGCCCTTTTTATTACATTAATTCACTAATATTTGTCATTCGCAAATTTGTAAAACATTGCTCATGCTGTTAGTACATGTTAGGACCTCAACTTGATGCTATCTACAAATCAATCAGGCAGTCAGAGTGAAAATCCAGAACCTTACGAAGATATCATTGTAGAATTCCTAGTTCTACAAACTACTGTAATGCTTGGATATGAAAAAATGCTTTGAATATTTTTGAAACTTTCAAAATATTTTTGAAAGATCTTTAAAACATCTTTAAAACTAAAATGTATAAAACTAAAACTATACATTTTCTAATTTTCATTAAAGTTTCATAATAATATAGAATAATTATAAAGAATTTTGATATCTTAATTTCTTGAAACAAAATATATATAATATCCCACTCTGAGAATTTAATTTTCCACTGGATGACTTATTAGACTTCAACTTAAAATTATAATGAAACCAAAAACCACATTTCTAATTAATAAGGAATTTTTTTACACTTTCTCGGGAGTCACTGGCTACTGGTACAATCTAATAAATACTATTTTATAATCTACTATACAATATTAATTTATATAACTAATATAACCAACTAATATTCAGCTTTAATCTAATACATGCAATAACGTTGTCCTGGCCATCAGATTCCAGGTTTGTATCACTGGGCCCTCTTTGGAAAGAGCAGATGAATTACTTTGTCCCGAATCTGCTTTGTCTTTACTCCATAGACAATAGGGTTGAGTGCAGGTGGAATAATTACATAAAGATTGGCAAACATAATGTGAAAAGTAAGGGGCACATTATGTCCAAAACGATGTGCAAGGATAGAAAAAAATGCTGGTATATAGAACATGAGGATGACACATACATGGGAACCACAGGTACCAAGGGCCTTCTGGCGGGCATCTTGGGAGGGTAGGCGAAAAACAGCACAGAGAATAAGAGTGTAAGAGAGAGCAATCAGGATCACATCTGTAATCACTGTCATAATAGGAACACAAAAACCATACCAGATATTAAGGGAGATATCAGCACAAGCAAGCCGGGCGACACCTATGTGCTCACAGTAGGTATGAGGAATGATATGAGTCCTGCAGAAGGGTAGGCGATTTACAAGGAAAACACAAGGAACAAAAACACAGAAACTTCTGAAGGAAATTCCCACAGCAATTTTGAAAATGGTCCTGGGAGTCAGAATTGTGGTATATCTCAAGGGCGAACAGATGGCCACATAACGGTCAAATGCCATGGCCAGTAGTATAGCTGAGTCCAAGACAAAGCTATAGTGCAAGAAGAATAACTGTGTAAGACAACCCGGGAAACTGATTGTCTGGGGACCAAGCCAGAAGATCGTAAGAGTTTTGGGAATACATGTGGTAGACAATACGAGGTCAGTAACAGCCAACATAGAAAGGAAGAAAAACATGGGTGCATGAAGACTACGCTCTACTGCAATGAGGTAGAGAAGGATACTATTGCCTGAAATAGCCACAAGATAGATAAAGAGGAACGGGATGCTGATCCAGATGTGATAGTCCTCAAGTCCAGGGATTCCCATAAGGGTGAAGGAACCTGTTCTGTAGTCACTCAGATTGTACATGACCATCAAGGGCTGGTGATTTGCTTCAGTATCCTGAAAATAAACTATGTAGAATGAACATGAGAGAGAGAGAATTGTATAGCAATTCTCCCTACATCTTCTCCTTTGTGCCAGCTTTCTTCTTTCTTATAGTCAAGAAAGAATCTTTATTAAAAGCAATACTCATCAGGAAAGATGCCATTGAAACAGTACTCTGGGTTAAACCCACTCATTTACTCCATTATCTTCTTCAAATTATATAAAATATTGTTTCCTTTTTAATGATTAAGTTTTCACAGGGTCGATGCAATTGATTACTATAACATATAAATATATATGATATATAGTACATATATAAACACATTTAATCACATATAGAAAGAAGTTAAGAACTTAAAGTAGAGAACAATTGAGAAAATTGCTAAAGGTTCCTATTATGTGCCAGGCTTTTTATGTAGTATTACCTCATTTGAAAAAACTTTACATGTGAGAGAGAGAAAGAAAGAAGTAAATGTTTGAAAGAGAATGCAGGCTTCTCCAGAGTGAAAATATGTAAGCAAGAAATGTCGAGACAAGAATGTGAGATGCATATTCAAGAGAGAATATGGGATGGGTTTAAAGAGCAAGACAACAGTTTGTGTTCTTGCAGTAGGTATGTAGAAATGGAATTTCTGAGCCACATATTTTTTTTAATTCCCTGAAAAGGCTCTGTACTGTTTTCCTCAGAAGCTGAACTAATTTATATCCCAACCAACAGTATTTAAGGATTCCTTTTTCTAAATACCCTCTCCAACATCTATTTCATCTCCACAGTTATGACATGATATTTTATTGCTGTTTTGTTTAATTCCCTGATTCTAATTAATAATTAAAATTTTATGAATCTGTTTTCCATCTTTATGTGTCATTTGATGTAGTATCTGTTTAGCTTTTCTCCAGTTTTTGATGGGATTATTTTATTGGTGCTGAGTTCATGAATTATTTATATAAGATGTCAACCCCTTGACAGAAACATGGTGTACAATACTGGAAGGGGAAGTGTTTTGCCTATATTTTCTTCAATATTTTTTACATTTTTCAGTATAACATCTAAATCTCTAATCAATTTTGAGTTAACTTTTGTGTCTGGTGTGAGAATGAAACCAGTCTTATTGTTTTTGCACATGACTATCTTATTTTTCTGCATACCATTTATTAGAGACCTTCCGTTTTCCATTGTATGCTCGTTTCCTTTGTTGTTAATTTACGATTTTTCTATGTGAGGGTTTATTTTTGTGCATCCACTTATTTTTTTGTTTAGTTTGTTTGTTTTTCTTTTTGGGTCACACCCGGCAATGCTCAGGTGTTACTCCTGGCTCTGCACTCAGGAGTTACTCCTGGCAGTGCTCAAGGGACCATATGGGATGCTGGGAATCAAACCCGGGTCGACCAGGTTCAAGGCAAACGCCCTACCCGCTGTGCTATCTCTCCAGCCCCTGTGAATCCACTTCTAAGTCATTGCTCTATGCCTTAATTTAACCCAATATCACACTTTTGTTTACTCTAGCTTTATTGTGTAGTTTAAAATCAGGAATATGTTACCTTCTATTCTTCTTTTCTCAGAAATACTTTGGAAATCTGTGGGGTTCATTGTGGGGACAATCTCATGCACAGTAAGTGTCATCCATTGACACTAGTCAGTAACTTTAAGGGAGCTCCTGCAGTACAAATGTGTGTTTCTCTGAGAGGGTGCAAATGGGGTAAAAATGGGTTTAGGGTGCAAACTGGATATTTACTAAGAGGAAAATGGCAGGAAAAATGGTCATTTCATCTTTTTTATTTTGTAAGAATTATTTCTGCTTTGGGCTGGAGCGATAGCACAGCGGTAGGGCGTTTGCCTTACAAGCGGCCAACATGGCCGACCCGAGTTCCATTCCTCCGCCCCTCTCGGAGAGCCCGGCAAGCTACCGAGAGTCTCTCGCCGGCATGGCAGATCCTGGCAAGCTACCCATGACATATTCGATATGCCAAACACAGTAACAACAAGTCTCATGATGGAGACGTTACTGGGCCCGCTCGAGCAAATCGGTGAACAACGGGAGGACCGTGGCCGTGATTTCTGCTTTATACTGATTTAATAACCATGTAAGGCTAGGCTTGATAATGAAGGAATGAATTTTTTTTTCTAAATTGAAACACTGTGGTTTACAAACCTGTTCATAATGTAGTTGTTTTAGGCATTCAGTGTTCCAGGATCAGTCTCAGCACCAGTGTGACCTTCCCTCTGTCATTGTTCCTAGCCACACCCAAGTGTACCCCCTTAACAGGCACAAAAATAGCTTATTTTACATCACGTGCTACAATAAAATAATGTTTGAAATTATCAAAAACAGTTCAATGAAATAAAATTTGTGAAAATTTTTAAATCTAAAAAAGAATGGAAATACTTTGGATATTTGAAGTTTTAGGTGGTACTATTTAAATTTCCATAATGTTTGTTCTATTTCTCTAAAAGAGGCATTAGAACATTAGAGGGACTGTACTGAAGATCAATGAAACCAAGAGCTGCCTCTTCAAAAGAATAAATAAGATTGACAAAGAAAAAAAGAAAAGGGAGAGAATCCAATCCAATTGATAGAATAATACATCAAAGGGAAAAGCATATAATAGAAACAAAGGTAATGATATTATAAAACACAAGTAAAGCAATTTTATGGCACTAAGAATCTGAAAGACATGGATGGATATTTAGTTTAAAAAGTAAACTTCTGGCTAACACGGGAGAAAAATAGAATACCTAAAACAAATTCATTACAAGCAAGAAATTTAAAAGTTATCTACAGATTTTTCCCAAGCAAAAGTCTTGCTCCCAAAGGTTTTATTGTTCTACCAAGTATTTGGAGGTGACCTATTAGGTATTCTTCTCAACTTCTTTCAAAATTTTTTTTAAAATGGAATGATTCTGAGCACTTTGATTAAAGTCAATATTAACCTGACACCAAAAGAAGAGGCATCACAAACATATATATGTATATATAAACATCCTTGTGAACATAAAAGCAAAACTCCTCAAAAAAATAGTAAATCAAACTCAAAAATACATTAAAAGTTTCATCATACATCATGATCAAGAGGGATTTATTCTAGAGATGTGAAGCTACTTTAATCTGACCAAATATTAATGTAATATGCCAAATATATAGAGAAAGTTTTGGCAAGATATTTTTCCTGAGATTTGTTATACTTGAAAAACTTCTTTAACATTTATTTTCTCTGCTAATATCTATAGACTAAGATCATGCCAATTCTATTTATTCTTGAGGGTCTTTTGTTCAATAGTATCCTCGAAGTCTACGCAATGGTGAACTTAAAAGTACATATCACTAAATCATATGGCCCACATAACCAGACAAGATGACACCCAGATACCCTGAGCACTATTTGGGAAGCAAAAAAAAAACTGCAATAAATGTGTAATAAATTTTTACTAATAAGTCAATGCTATAATAATGTTGACATTGTCTCTGAAAATATCCGAAATTATTAAATAAATTGACATTATTGCATAGCTTAAAGAAAATGAACCTCTGAAAACTGAAGCCACTGATATACTAAACCAAGAAAATGCTAAAGCTACTTTTACTGAAATGAAAAGTATGAGCATTATTATATCCTTTTTATTATTATTACTAAATAAGCTTTATACAGAGACAGAAAATATTGTATGATGCTGTTTATTCCTTTTCACTAGGCTTAGAAGAAAATTTCTTCAGAAAGCTTTGTCTTAATTTAGAAGTTTATGTTCCCTTACACAAAGCCTTAGAACGACTTAGATCCTAAAGAAGCACTTACAAACATTTATTGCATTGGCCTATCTTCTATTTCTCTTGCATATAAGAACAGTTTTGTATTTATAGCTTAATCTGCTGACTCTTGTTCAATTTCTATACCACTCAAATTTAATTGAATAAATAATCAAGTCACTGTACACAACTTCCTTTTTGATGTGATACTACCGAATCAGCAAAATCTCTCCCATCCCACCTTTGTTCTCCTTTCTATTTACTCTTGGTTCCATTTAAGTGCTATTAAAGGAACAAATGGCTAAAATAATAAACAAATGAAAGAATTAAAGCATATGTGCGTTTACACATAACCCCAGACAAATCCAATCCAAGGTAAATTCTGTATAAAGTCACATACTAGCCATTGCTTAAGAACCTGGGGTTTAGAGTTATTTGTACTTACATTTGATCCGTGCCTCTCTTTTTTTTCATTTTACCAAACAAGCTATCTGATCTCTTGAAAAGGCCTGTTTCTCGCAGAATTTTTATGGGGATTATAGGAGGAAATAGTCTTACCTCAGTGACTGGAAAAGTAGGTTAAGCTTTCAATAAATGGTAACTATTATGTAATATCATTATTATTACTAACACATGCAAATGCACTTGAAACTCACACTTGACAGAAAAGTTTCAAATCACATGGAGACCACAGATTCTGGTTACAGCCCTCTGCTTCAAGCTCTCAGACCATTTTGTTTAGGCTATGTCTTCAGGAAGGCCTCCAGTCTCCCTTATTCTCATTTTCTGCCTTTTTAAAATCTACGTTGTGACTACTTAAACAGTTAACATCTGACACCTATAGCTTCCATTTCATAGGGGGATCTGGAATGCTCCTCTTCTTGGGTCCTCTGTACAACCTTCAGTTTGGACTCCCCAACATCTAGCCTTTGACTTTCCAACTGCTCTTGTTTTCCCCAAAGACTACCACTCACCAAACCCAAACTCTTCATGACAGAGAATTCATGAGATCACTCCTCTATTCCTCTACCTGGATTTGAGATAGGTCACTCAGATACACAGAACCCTGAGTCACCAACGACAAAAGCCTCATCTGTGGATTTTGGACTATGCTGTGAACACAATGCCAGGGATATATTCCCTGAAATCCCAAGGTCTCAAAGGCTGAGACAGACAAACCCCTAAAGGCACAATTCTCCTGAGACAGGCAATATCCTGAGAAAGATTTTTCCAGAGTTTTCAAAA